AAGATACTACGAATTTGTTTAATTTCATATATTTATGAAAAGGACGAATACGATAAAATGAACCGGTGAGAAGGCTTACTACTTAGGTTATTATTACATATTTGTATTGTAATACATAATGTACATAATATTTTATTCATTTCCATATTATTATTAATCTCTCTCCCCACCCATGACGTAAATAGTGAATGGAGGTTTGTACTTTGTACGTGGCCTCGCAAATTAGATTTTTATGCAGTGTGCCACGGTTACTTTCCAAATACTAATTCTATGATTAAAATATAATGTATCCACAGAGTAGAGAATTCGGATTACGTTTTTTTAAATCATTTGTCTCAAATAATGAATCAACTTCTAACTGTAACCAGGACAATAAACGAATATAAAAATAAAATACCTCGAAAACCTCTCTTTTAACTATATTTTCTAACAAGTTGGCAAGTTTATAGCCACTAAAACCACTGTGAAAGCCATCGGCCGCTATGTTGGTGTACCCAGGATCTGTCAGCGACAGGGCACACCAGCGACTGGCCGGTCCTGGCAAACTTAATAGCCACACCACAGCCTGCAGTAATGCGACATGCGATAGATGGACTACATAACTTTCATGGACATAGTGTCGCTATAAAAACTAATCTTTAACCAAATGGAACATTATAACCATTATTTATATTATAAAGATAATCAGATATTTTATGTCTCAAAAAGTAAAAAAATTTGCGTTTTATTTGAACGAAATTATTGAATTACAAACTGTACCCTTCTTCTTCTACCTGGCAATTTCCCAGCTTTAGCCAGGGTCTGCCTTAACTGTTTCAATAGTTTTGGCTAATTGTTTTTTTTACGACCGGCCGCCTGCCTGACATCAACCCTCTTTGGGAATGCATTAATCAGTGATGTCTAAATACTCTTAGAAAGTACACATGACTAGGAAAAATCACATTGGTTCTGCCCGGGCCAGGATCGAACCCGCGCCCTTGTGCATGAGAGGCGGGCCTTTTAACCACTAGGCCACCACTGACTTAATTACTGCTTGAATTACAAGCTGTACCCTGTTCTCACTTATCTAACTCTTGATTTGTAAGTCAGTAATACTTATTCGAGTCTCAGAATCCTAGCAAGCGATAGTTTTAAACACAAGGGTAAATTAAACACAGGAGAATATCACATTCAACATATTTATTTCAGCGACATTTCACTTAAGCAAATCAATACTTACATAATAAAAAACCTTATATTAATAGTAATACTCATTTACAATAATTACAAAACAAACAAAATATAATTAAATAAAACTATAATACATTTGTATGGTCCAACTTCGATACAATTAAGAATTAAATGTCTAAAAATTATTATTAAAATTAACAAAAAAAAAGTTTCTATAATGGCAACACTAGTAACTAATTACTTAAAAAATTACGTTACTCAAAGCAGATTATCGTATATTTCGTTTTATGAATAAAATCTATTTGATATATAGTCCAAGTTTTGAACATTAATTGAAAAATTTCAAAAAGATATACATACGTATACGTGATTTTGAAAAATAAATCATTATTTTAAGTGAATTGTCATTATAATAAACATGTAATTTTATATAGACATCAATAAAATATTTAACATGGAGATATTTATAGACGAATTGCACAACAAATTAATATATAATAAAATAATATATTGAGCGCGTCAATGTATGGGATTTTTATCCCTCTGAACCTGCATTACATAGAGCCAGAACAAATTCATTAGGCCCTTGATCTTGTATCTTTAATACATAGTTAAACAGAATAATACTTTACAATGACATATAAATGCATTTAGTTCTCATTTAATTGAGCAAAAATACTGAAAAAAATATTTAGGTAATTATATTACAAAATAGCGCTCATATTTCATAATAAAATATACGTTTATATTAATAATAATTAAGCTCGCAAAATAAACGTACATATTCGTAAGGCGTGCAATTAAATGAAAAAAAATATATCCATAGAAAACTACCAGTTAATATTTGATTGTAAAACACTTATATAACATTAAGAGAAATAGATTTTGATACAGTGATATTAGTGGTCCCTTTATTTGAGAAAAAAAAATCGGTCTTTAAAAAAATAACTAAGATTTGTTTGTAGTAATTAATAATTATACATTCATATAAAATGGTATAGGATTAAAATCTTAAGAATGAAATTCCATAGCCATAAAGACACCAATATTTTCAACAAGTCACCTCACATAGAATTCGATTTAAACATGAATATTCTGTTCCGAGAGGTCATTAACTGACCCAGTTACAACATCTCATAATTAATTGTTATATTAGCATATACATAATATATTTTTATACATGGCATTATAAAATAAACATTAAATCTACCACATCCACTTATAATCTGTACAACGAAATCATTATATACTAAAAAATATACACTAATTAAAAATATTAGGTGTTACTATGACGTATTAATAAGAAATTTGTGTGAATTTGAACATTTTCCATTCATAAAATTTACTAAATTTTTGTTACTTTTATCGTCAGCCTGAACGTATAGAAACGTCTTTAAATATATTTTTTTATGAAAAATAAGGAAAATGTTAATATAAAAAAAAATTAATAGCCATAAATCGATAAACACGTAGCAATACATATTTTTGTTATTTGGACTGACGATTAAATTTTGTATTTGGAAAATAAATTTCTTCCTCAAACTCTCTTGAGAAAATTCGATTTTTTATTGTTTTGTATTGTAAAAGTTTTTATTATCTATCAGAATTACAGCAATTAAACGTACAGCAAAAATCTATATTCATTTTCGGCACTTTCGGCACCGTATACAGTCACACAAACAATCGCCTCTCCAACACCAATAAAGTAAACCACATTACATTGGTTAAATACAAAAAAAAAATACCAAAAACTAGAACTTATTTAAAATTTTGCTATATAAAACCGGTGGTTGTGCGTTTGAGAATAATATCAACAATGTATTAAACACAAAACTCATACATATTTACAAGTAATGATATTCAAAGGCCAAGATATTTTCTGCACAATGGAATCATTGTGAGTGTAGTTTATGTGCACTCGAATGGTAAATCGTATCATATTAACATCTCACTTAACAAAACGGCTTATAGGATCACGACCCTAATATATATGTATATTATATATATACATAGACGCCGTTAAGGCTAAATATTTTACAGCTACTTACATTATATACTTAGAAAGTTTTTTTTTTACCTACTGATCCAAAAGTTCTCACCTTTTTAAGACACGTCATTACACACGTATATAAAAGATTACAAGCTTTGATTACGCTTACAACAAGTTCTCAATTTTAAATACGAAGACATATATCGTCTTCGAAAAATTATATTTTAACGTGTCATTGTACGTGAAACTGGTGACGCTACGTATGTAGTGAGTTAGCAGACATGTGCTAAACGTAATACAGAAAATTAATACTTTTTAAGAATTCTAATATCTTTTAAGCTATAATGATTATGGTAGATAGGTTGTATAGCTTTTTTTCAATGTATAAAACTTTTTGTGTACTAACAGTAAGTGCATACGTGTTAAATATTAGCTTGGTATTTTGTCTAAGCTACGATAAATACGATTATATGTCAGTCTATCGCAAACAGTCCAAAAAGACTTAAAAAATACATATAGTTACATAGATTTTCACGTACATGTATATAAACATTACTATCTAGGCTTCTAGACGTACATATATATAAAATTGAAGTCTTATTCAAGATGGAATAGATATAAATTTTCCAATGAAAAAATAAATGTTACGTAGAAATAAAATTACGTAAAATGAATGAATTTAATAATAACCAAATGGAATAAATCCGCCGGGAATTTTCAGTATGACAAAAGAATTTATTTAAATATACAAGATTCATAACGCAGTTTTACGTTTTACGTTAAAATGCGTTAATATAAATTACGAAATTAGTAAATATCCGAGTAATTAAATTTCGGAATACACATCCGTATTAAAGATTACACACACATATTTTAATTTAATATTTTTTCCACGAGCTACAGAACCAAATTTAACATCATAATCAATATTATAGAGATAATATGAAAATTATAAGATATACAAGATCTTAAATTATTTTCATAGTTTTAAATTTCTTCTACAACTTGTAGTAGTTATACTATTACTCAAGGTATCTTTATTCAAGATAGGCAGACTTAATAAATAATTTTACATTTCTATAACATTTACTTCAAAGCTTCAATAGACAACAATCCATCGGATAATTCTATTTAAATCAAGAGGTTTGTATAAAATATAAAATACATATAGTATTTACTAAGTACATAATAAAATCTGATATACCACTTGTATGTATACTTTAAAAGCTTGGGTCGCAATTTAAATATTTACAATTTATCTTTAAACATTCGTCGATTCACACAAAGCTATACGCATTTAATAGTACTATCGAAAAACGTTCGATAGTAATACTTAGATTCCGAGAATAGAGAAAATACCAATTGAGTTCTATACTAGAACCGACCCCAAGCCGAACCCGTAAATCAAAGCGTGTCAATATTAAACGAGCAAACAAAATTACGTAATGTGCACACCATTGAACATACCACAAATATTTTGATAGACTGACGCACAAATGGTACATGACGATAGAAAATTTATATATATAATAAATCAATTTTTATATCGACACCATATACGAAGGCAATTTTAAATTATATATATGTATATAAAACAAAAATTACACCACCCTGTTATCCGAAATATAGGAAACAGAATATATAATGATAAATTGTCGCGATCCATGATCATATAAAAAAAATTGTGCTTAAAAAAAATCTTATATAAAAACTATTTACACTTGAAAAAGCATACATGAAAGGTGTTATATTTAAAATAGTCCATAGTTTAAACTCATCGTATAAACATATCGTTTGGGTTTATACATTTCTTATAAACCTTCCCGTATATGGGGTTTAATCATTGCTGGACGCTTCTAGAAGCTTCTGCGTCTTGACGCGTTATATTGAAAGCCTCGGTCTTGAGGAAATCTACCGTTTTATAAGCGCACTCATCTGATGACAGTGACTTACCGTGAACTATGGACGTCTTCCTCGCTGATTCTTGAGTCTGAACATCAAAGTCATGTTAATATCGCCTAGATTTGGTTTAAAAAACATACAGCAAAGTATAGAACGCAATACTTCTGACAGTGCAACGATTCATCAAAGTTATTGGAATTTGCCAAATATAATATGACGTAAGATAAGATGATAGATAGAAATTAAAATATGCAATAGTCACTATACTTCCATCACATATGTATGACAATAGGAAATATTTAGTCATTTATAAAATGTGTGGAATAAAAAAAAATCATCCAGAATTGAACTATTTACTGATCGGAAAGGAACTTTGTTTAAAAAAAAAATGTGACAGAAAATTCCAAATTACAACGTAATGTAATGTCAAATGAATGACTACATTAATTAAAATATATTAACTATTGCAAATTTTTAAAGGCTTATTATTTTTTACTGTTAAATATAGATTTAATTTTACTACACTCACCTTAAAAGAAGACGGTGAACTGGGTGCTGGTAAATCGAGATCCAAGTACTGCAAAGTTTCCGACTTGATCTCATCGCTAGCCCTATACGCTGATTTCTTTAAACATAAGAATATTATTAATTTAATATGTTCTAAATTTTAAAAAATAACTTATATTCATATAACTCACTTGTCCAGCGGTTATGTTGCCCATACTGTGAGTCGAATGTCGCGGCTTCAAAGCCCTATCGACGGCCGGCGGCAGTGAAGATAAATTGCAATACTGCAGCGACTAGACAAAAGAGAAAGAAAAATCAAACAATCCAATAAAAAACACGCACATTGAAAGCGTATACCACAAAAAATAAGTAAAAAAATCAAAAAAAAATGCAAAAAAAATAATAACATGGCCCATTGATACGTCATCTTCATCATCAGTTCTGGCGTGGCTGATCACTGATCTTCCTGGTGATGTTGGCGCACCTTGAGACATACGACGCGGCAAGCGGACCCAGGGGAATGGGGACTAGCGAAAAAAAATAAACATAAAATTCAACCAAAGAAAAAGCACAAAAAAAACAAACAAAAAAAGCAACATACAGAACACTCATGAACATCAACCGTTTCCTGAAACTTTGGTCCCTGGTATGAATCCTTCGCTCTCGTGAGATCCTTGCTCATGGCGAAGGTCTTCGGCGGCCGAGGTGGCACGGGCGGGCCTATCGGAGTACATTAATTAATTGCAATAAAAATCAAAAAAAAAATATCTAAAAAAACTTACCATCAGCGTTGAAGCCTTCCTGGCTTTGAGGATGCACGGAGAGCCTTTTAAAAGACTTCGCAACAGTCCAATCCCCTGTAAAATTACAATATATGAAGAGACGTCATCAATCTATCGGTTTTTTTATATTTTTTTACGTACCCATATTGAATTGACTAGTGCTAAGGGACCGGCATTCGTCTTCACTGAGATTTGATTCATTTTCTGATAGTTCAACATTATTTACTCTTATCTGTGGTTGCGTCAAATAGGTATAGCTTCTTGTACTACCTACTTTCTTATTCGAGCTGATAACTATATTCTTAGGGTCAAAGGTAAACGCTGTTTGGGTGTCCTACAAGAAAAATAATCACTCAAATATTTCGAAGTGACATATTCCTATAAAATGCTACAAATACATTGTTTTACTATAGGAGAATGCTGAAAATTAATTAACATAAATATTATAAAGTGCAAAATTTCCTTAAAAATATTATTTGGCATTGTCGACTTCATTTTATATTTTTCTTCCTTACAATAATTTCCTATATTCTTGAATTTCAGTACATAATTTCCTTATCGCCGGACATATAAGCACTTACAAACAGAACTCATGACTTTCAAATCATTTTATGAACTCGCTGAATGAAATTTAACGGACAGGACCTTTTCTATGACGTAACGTAACGCATGAAAAGATAAAATATGTCCATAAGATTAAGCAAATTTCTGAGGAACTAATTTATCCAAGTACTTGTACTTATAGGGTTACCAATTTATATTGGAATTAATTGCAACTAAGTTTGCTAAATTGCTGTAAAAAATTCTACAGTACTATCTCATTATGCAACTTTGTTTAACTATTTTAAAAAGACACTTTGATTGATTACTATTAATAAATTTTGATCACACACCTGATTACAATAATATTGGAGGAAAAAATAATGATTTTTATTATATTAAAATGTTCTGTTTTCTTTCAAAAAATGTTTTTACAAAGAGAAACCAAACACTACCTAAAAAATAATGTCCAAACTGTTAAGAATTTTTTCTTTTATCATCTTGAATCATGAATGAATTACGTTTCAAGAAATACACCAAAAAATACAAACCAATATTCTAGTTTTTTAGTGCAATATGATTATAAGCCTAATATAAAATCAGAAATAAATATGAACCTGTGTCCGAACCCCTGTAATGCATTCAGATATAGGTATATAAGGGCCAGTGCCTTCAGAGTGATATTCATCCATAACAGTCATTGTACCCTGATCATGTCTTTCTATGGGTGTTTGCTTCATGTTCGTCTTCACTTTGGATTTGCCTCGTGTTGACGAAGGCTTACTGTTCCTAAATGTGGTAGTGTGAGTCCTTTTTCTCGCACCCCCTGTGACATTGGAATCATTTATTACCTTTGTTCCAATATTTTCTCTCTCATTTAGCGTTATGTTCTGATATAGACCTAGAAAATAAATAAAACATTTCAATATATCCGTAATATCACAAGATATAATATAAGCAAGAGTACAAATAGCGCATATTATACAAACATGTAAATGCAAATTATAGTATTATTAGCTTTGCTTTACAATATTTAATCAGAACAACATATTGAAAGGCGCATTTACATTTAGGCTTTAGCATTCATTTTGCATGCTCGCAAGTCTTTTCTCATTTAGACAATATTAAGCAATTACAACAATAAGACACAATAACTAGAAGACTGCAAGATTATGAAATTCTTGCTTATTTTTTTATATACATTACAGCTGATACAAAATAGGTACAACAGTAATTCTATATATATTAATATGGTATCAGAATATGAAAATTTTATATAGCAAGTTACAAAATTATTACATATAATGTGTTAAAAGTGTACTGCACATAAATATACAACAATCATTAATATATCAAGTTGTTCGCAACGCAAGCATATATGTCAAAGATATATAGCTGATAGATTTAATTATTATTATTTATATTCCACTTAAAACAAATAAACTTACAAAAATTTCATCAATGTAGGTGCACATTAGTTAATTTGCCTAAACTAATTCTATAAAATCAATTGCCAGTGCAAGTACACAAGAAATATTAGATTATGTACCATTTGAACACAATTGAAATCCTTCAAAGTAAAACTTTGTGAAAACAATTGATTAATAAATTAAAATAATTATAAATAAAAATTTATGCCTTTATATTATTTTAATGTACATTTCTGTGCAGTGTTATGTTTTTAAATATAAGCTATGTAAAAATATTATTGAGTTTTTATTTTAATATATAAATTTATTGTTGATTTCTTAATACACAGATTGAAAAAAAAGTACTTGTTCAGATATTTCAAAGTATGGCTAAAATTATGATATAATACAATTAAAGAATTTGTTGAAAATAATTTTGTTTATAGAATATTTATAATAGAATTTACATTGTACTAAATGTATTGAGATTGTTAAAATCAAACAATATTTATTAAATATCTTATCCGATTAAATATCAAAATTATTGATCAATCATATGTTTTGTTATAAAAAAGTTTATTCACATTTTTGCTTATCAATAATCATTATTATATTATTAAAATATCATGATACAAATAATAACTTAAGTTTAGTTCATATGCAATATATTTGAAACAGGTAAATAGTAGTGGATGCAAATACTTCAAGATTTAACTCACCGACAGCATTTGTTGATTCATCTGTTGCTCGAAGACCACACACTCTGCATATAGCATCAACCCACTTTTCCATTTCTTCCTCGGAATCAGCCTCCAAATGATAAGTTCGGATGTTAGTTTGAATCGTGAACACACAACCACGGAGTTTTCGATTTAAGGATCCGTTATTATCTCTTTCCATATGCAATCCAGCATCAACCTTTCAAATACATTTAACATTATTTTTTACAGCCATATCACTCAATATAAAAGTATATTGTTAATAAATAATGTTCATGTTAAAATATAAACAAACATTTGTTACATATAAGATATGTATATATTTTTTTATTTACCTGATCACAGCAATCCAAATCGATAGACCCCTTCAACCTCCTACAGTGTCGATCGGAATAGTAGTCGAGAAAGTATTGTCCTGGTAGCTCGCCTGATTGTCGCAAGGCAAACCACCGTCTGCGCCATTTCTGAGACAAATGGGACATTAATAAAAACTGAACGCTTTAATTTGTAATTTTAGATTTTATTGCTATCAAAACTGGCTATAAATTCTTTGAATGTTACCGCAAGTAACCAATGAAACTACAAACTACAGTCTGTCAACAAACTCAAACATAAAAGGAGAATGTAAAATTTACTTACAGTTCTCCATATGCGCTTTGATGGTGGCGATTTAGTAAGCCATCCTTCGTAAACAATATTTTTGGACATTATATGCGGTATTAAAAGTGTATCCTCAATATATGAGTCAGAATATTTTTTGAGTAAAGCAGTGATAACGCACACAGCCACACAGGCGAACCGCTCTGCTTACGAATCCAGACTGAGCGCAGTTTGCATAGATAATAAAAGTAAAGTATCAACTTGCCGTTTTCTATAAACACTAATGTAGTATTGATTTATATTGTTAATATATTTTTAGAACAATTTTAATGTTTTTGACATATAGAAGTTTATTGTTATAAGTCTTTTGTTATAAGGTTTTCTAAAGAGTATAATCTTTCACATTATTTTGTAATTTTATATTTTCCTAACATTCCTGCTTGTTTACTTTTTATTTTCAGAGTAGACAATTTAATTTTAAAATATTTTTATTCTTTTATTTAAACATTGATTTATTAATTTATTTATATGAAGCGTGTTTCATAGATGTTTTGTATGGCAGACTTCAGCAAAAAACTTTTGAAAACCACTTTATTTGTTGCCATACCATATTGTAAAATACTTGCCAGAGTAATACTGGTACACGTAAAATAAAAATAATAGCTTTGTATAGCAAAGTTGACAGTAACACATTTTGGAATTATTATTTTACTAATCTAGATAAAAAAATGTCTCACCCACAATATCCCCAAAGTAATGTATCGAAATTTAGCGGATACCATCCCGATAAGTAATCATTTACTATAATTATTATTGTTTTGACTCTATAAACATACACTCTATAATTTTTATTGATAAATAATATTGCCTTGTACATTGATTCCATAACAACAGCCATAAAATTTATACTAAAATAGATTTGAAGTATCATTTGAATGTAAAACAAGCGTTTTATGTTTGATATAGGTATGCCTTAGACGAGGTATCACCAACATTAAAAACTGACGAGAGCTTAACTCCCAACTGTCCACCTTGTTTAACTCAGCGTACAATCAGCAAGTTTCTGCAACCATTGACCAGAGAACTGGTCGAAGTACAGCCGAGGTTTAATATTTATTAAATATGTAATTATAAAATAAATGCTCACAAATATTCAGTCTAAAATTAATTTAAAGACCTACTATTGACGAACTGCCTGATGCGGTAATCGAGAATATGGTGAAAAGGGACAAAGCATTCTGGGTCGACAAACCTGGTGCTAATGCTTACACTCTACATGACGCCTATTATAACTACGGCATGACCACTGAAAAGGTTCTGCCACGTAAGTATATCATGAAAAATCTTCTTAAATATATTCATATAATATTTCCATTAAGTAATTTATTAAAATTATTTGATAGCACATCAAGATGTTTTTCCACGTTCGTACCAATACGACCTTGATTGCGTTAAATATCGACGTCACCATGCCTGTGATGGATTGAAGTCAAATGAAAGTGACGTGAAGGTCTCTTAATATATGCTTAAAATAATACATAGGTGTACAACTTTGCTTCCGCCGTTTTGCAATAGATGGTTGTAGCGGTAAGTGGTAGTCGAAATAAATAGATCGTAGATGTCATACAATAAGCTTAGGCATTTGTTAACATAACGCCATCGAAATATTAGTCGATTTGTGTCTGCATCATAAAGTTATTCTCGATTAAACATGTCAGCTTACGAGCCAAATTCTCGTCATTTGCGGGAGGTTTTAATTTTCTGGTTAAATATGAAGAAATCTGCGGCTGAGGCTCATCGAATGCTCTCAAATACCTATGGTGAGGCTGCTATTAGTAAAAGAACGTGCCGAGAGTGGTTTCAACGCTTCAAGAACGGTGATTTTGACGTCGAAGACCGGCATGGCGGTGGAAGAGAGAAGGTTTTCGAAGATGCAGAATTGGAGGCATTACTTGATCAAGACTCGTGTCAAACGCAACAAGAATTGGCAGGATCATTGGGAGTGACGCAACAAGCCATTTCAAAACGCCTGAAAGTCATGGGCATGATTCAGAAACAAGGAAATTGGGTGCCGTACGAGTTGAAGCCGAGAGATGTTTAACGGCGTTTGTTTGCTTGTGAATAGCTGCTTGCAAGGCAAAGACGGAAAGGATTTCTGCATCGCATTGTGACTGGGGACGAAAAATGGGTTCATTACGATAATCCCAAGCGCAGAAAATTATGGGGATATCCCGGCCATGCTTCCATGTCGACGGTCAAACCGAATATTCACGGTTCCAAGGTATGCTCTGTATTTGGTGGGACCAGCTCGGCGTAGTGCATTATGAGTTGTTAAAACCGACTGAAACAATCACAGGCGATAATTATCGAACGCAATTAATGCGTTTGAGCCGAGCATTGAAAGACAAACGGCCGCAATACAACGAGATACATGATAAAGTGATTTTACAGCACGACAATGCTCGACCCCATGTTGCGAAAGTGGTCAAGACATACTTGGAAACGTTTTAATGGGAAGTCCTACCCCACCCGCTGTATTCTCCAGACGTTGCTCCCTCGGACTATCACTTGTTTCGATCAATGGCACACGGCCTGGCTGACCAGCACTTCCGATCTTATGAAGAAGTTAAAAATTTGATCTATTTGTGGATCGCTTCAAAAGATGACCAGTTTTTTCAACGTGGGATTCGTATGCTGCCCGAAAGATGGGAGAAAGTAGTGGCCAGCGATGGACAATACTTTGAATCATAAATGTATAACCAGTTTTTTACAATAAAGCCTCGAATTTCGGAAAAAAACGGCGGAAGCAAAGTTGTACACCTAATATATTGTTATATGAAAATAACAAATTTTATGTATAAATTATTTATTAGAAACCTCTAGCAGCGCATTGCAATATATGCACCACTGCGAAAGCACGAGCAGGTACATCAGATCGTGTTTTCGGGAGCGAATCAACACAGAAACGTTGGAGATATTATCCTGATGTAACGGCTACCTTGACGCCTGATGAAATAAGGCAGAGAATGGATGAGTTAGTGAATTAAGTACAAGTTTTTATAACCACACTTCTTCTACCTGGTGATTTCCCAGCTATAGCCAGGGTCTGCCTTACATGTTGTGTATAGTTTCGGCTATTTGTTTTTACGACCGGCCGCCTGCCTGACATCAACCCTCTTTTGGGGAAAAAGACCACACTATATAGCATTAATAGTTTTCCATTCATTTCTTCGTATATTATAATATTAATCGATCATTGAATGAGAAACGTGTAAAGACACGTATGTATAGTAATGATTCCAACTTGGACTAAGTACACATTTTTTTTTATTGACCAATGTTAATATAATATGCATTTGAACTCACCTAAAATACTAACATTGAATATCGCCTTAAAGCAACCATTGAACATCCCATAGCACTAAGTTCAACGTTTATTATGGATTGATAATTCGTTCCTCTTTAAAGTAAAAAATATATATGAGACAGAGGTCTTTTTATATTATTATATATTTTATAGAGCTATTAGGCTATAGACGTTGCTACAGACGTAGGTTATAGAAAATATTTTACTAGACATCTAGGGCTAAAATCTAAAATATTATTTGTTCCCCAACAAATTATGACTTTCTTTGCCTTAAAAACTTTTCCTCTTTCGAACAAATCCAATTCGATTCATTCAATGCATTCAGAGAATCCCTCTAACTTTAATAACTTTCTGATCCCTTTTCTTAACCTTTTTTTACCGTATTGAATAATACCATTTTATTAATAGCTACATTCATAACTACTTCAATTTCGATATTTTGTATCAAATCTTTAACTGTCGTTTTAATCTTTAATGACTTCTCAACTGAGAAGAAAAAATCCCAAAAATATGTTCGTTGATTTCTACAGATAAAGCTGAAATTTCTCAGTAGTCATTGAAGTCAAACATTAATTTACCACTGACTAGACAAGATTCTTTATCTATTTTTGTTTCACATAAACAAGAATTTGAAAAAACATTCTATTAACCTTAATATGAAAATCCTTAAACCTTTCAGGACAATATCCAATTATTTCCTATCTCAATATTACAAATAGAAATATTATAATAATATGAAAATTGAGTTTTTTAAATATTTCTTTGCAATTGATCCTGTGTACCCTAGCCTAAGATTCACTGTCACCCGTACAGTGATCCAAAGTGACCCATTCCCGGGCCACAGTGGATCATTTCTATTTTTTTTTAAAGTGCCTATACCTTGTAAATATGTATAACATACGCAATGAAATGTCTCTTATTTTAGACATTAGATATTCACATTATCATTCTAATTTCAGAGATATATCATTTTGTCATAAACTACGGAGTAACACTTCTTTAAAAAAAATGTATCACTGTTACCCATTCTTCCCCATCTTGCAGTTATAAGTAAAATAACTAACCTTATATTATTTTAGGGTGGGTCGACCATTCAAAAATGAAGCCTGTAGGTGGTACAATAAGCATTATCCGACACAAAAATATAATTGCATCATGCGAAAATTTTCTAAGTAAGTTCAATGACCTCTGCTAATAAAAATTATACAATGAATAAGCAGTTTTATTACGTGCGTTATATTAAACTAGTTTATATATATTGCTGATATGATGTTAATATTTAAAAGCAATTTCAAAATATGTAATGTATTTGAATGATAAGTTTCCATATAAATATAACTTTAACTATCAATAAACTTTAACTTTAACTTTAACTGTCAATAAAATCATCTTTAATTAAATGTATCAGTGTAGGGATAGTATAAGGTTTTTCCCATTTCAAGCACAAAATATTACGATTCTACTGTAATATATATAATGTTCAATAAATACGTAATATTGATCATTCAAGGCTTGGCTGAAATGGAAGGAAAATCTGTCAGTGAAAGCAAATGTTCACAAAAAAAAACGATATTTTTTTATATATATTTGTATAGTTAGATTAGTACTTTTTTTTCAGTGAACATCATACTTAAATTTAACATTTAAAGCGAATTTTATCCAAATAGATATTATGTAAAACTTATAGATTGACGTATAAATAATTAATCATTGGTAAAAGAAATTATATTATTTATTAAATGTTTCAGACGAACTCTATTTCGATCGATTCGTTTATAAAATGCTTTTCTGAACATAAACAAACTTAAACTGCCCCACCATTAATTTTAAGTAGGTATTTGAAATCTAATAGGTATAAAATAAAACTTCACTTTGGTTATAAAACAAAAAAAATACAATAAAAGGCTTTTAAGCCGAATGTCTAGAATTAAAGTGGACTAATTTCAAATAAAAATTTATATTAATATTTAAAGAGCTTGTTTCAAAATGTATCACAATAAATATTATTAAATGTTACTGCTAAACCGATTCAGATTTATACAATTTCAACTTATTCACTGAGATAAGTAATTGACGCTGTCGTTTATAACACCTTTATGGACATTAAGAAAACCGTAAATATTATTCTTTTGAAATATGCAAGGTTATTCTTTTGTTTGTCTATGACAATCAAAATTTCAGGTATGTCCATTAAAGGAAATTAAAAAAATATTCTATTAAAATTTGGTCCCATCCCACTACTTTATAACCATGAGTAAACAGGATGATGGTCTGTTCCTCTTAGAGGTGCTTGTTGATAAAATAGTTTTCGTTAAGAGTCCTTGTTTTTCTGACAAGGATTTCAGAACTTGCGTTAACATTGAATGTCCAGGAGTTGAGCCGCTGGAAATATGTGATGATGAACCCAACGCTTGTGTAGCAAAAAGCAGTGGTCCATTTATAAAATTATTTAACAATGGAAAGTCTTGTTTATTTTCTCTCAAACAGAGTGAAATCTCAGCAGCTCTAAACAAGTTTCCTGTACAAGTCACTGTATATAAATCATTACCATGTGGCTGTTTACCCACGAAGATCATTATGGGAGAGTGCACTATAGACATGACAAAGGAATTTGTCGAAGCACGCAACACATTTTTGGAAGATCCTACAAATGTCAGCTATCAAGCCCTCAAAGATTCATTTCGAATCGTTGGACCAGACGACGCAGAAACTGGCGAAATAGTTATGTTTTTACGCATATCCTGTTTCGGCAATATGATAATAACGAGGTTTCAAGGACCTGGAGGGCCACCTAACATAGGGGGCAGGAAGAGTTCTACTATTGTCGATAGATCCTGCACTCCTAGAAAAGATTTCCAAAGCATGCAAGATCCTTGTGCTTGCGGAGCAGCACGGGGATTATCCAGTGGGGCAGGTGCTGCTGGCGGCAGAGGACAACCTTGTAACGTCAGTGGGGGAAGTGGTGTTTGTCCACCTGGTATAAATTCACTTACCCGATCTTACCATTATTTTGAATTTAACAAGAGTAACATTAAATATACTAATACTTTTTATTTTTTTATAGCCAGAGATCCTTACAACAGTATGCCCTGCCAGGATCTTGACGACCCATGTTATTGTTCCGGTCCGAAACAAGAGCCAAAACAACAGATGGTGTGTCGAAACACCGATCAGTACTGTTTACACGTCCCAAAAGGTTAGAGAAGTAAACTTCTTGTCATAGTTTCTTAGCTTTATCGTTGTTAGAAATTATAGATACGTTTTGTCATGTCAAAAGTAGGTTGAATTTATGTAAAATAATCAAAAAGGAATGAATGCAAGAATGGCTTTTTAATGGTCAGGTCGCAGTAAACAATTCGAAGAGATAGGCACAAACCTTGGTGGAAACGAGTTAAAGATTAAAGTTCCTGCCCATGCGTCTATAATTAAGAAGATTAGTCAGACACATTGTTCAATGCAATGTCCTTATTCAAAAGGCACAAATGATGGTCCTTGTTTGCCACCATGTGGAAAAAATCAGATAAGTCTGGCTCTACCAAGTGAAGCCATTTGTTGTCAAGGAGCAAATCCTGCTGGAACTCAATTCAGTTGCACGACCGAAGGTTGCCTTCAGGCCGTAAAGCATGGACAGCAAAGTGCTCTAGCTCGCGGTGATGTCAAACAAAACGCACCTGCAGAACTAACCAACCAAGATGTGTTTGTCCTCAAGGTTGCTAAAACAGCCATGCAAGGAGATAGGAAATGCAAAGTGGAATTAGAACTGGTTACACCAAAGGGACCTGATAAAAAACTTCCTGTAAAGAAAATAAATACATGTCTGCAATCCGATCTTGACTGCGAATGTTTCGTTAGGCGCTTGAAGAAAACCAAACCAAAAAAGAAGCTATATTGAACTACCTTATTAAACCGTAAAATAACTTTGTTCTTCAGTTTCGACGGAAAATTAAAAATTCCATCTATGTCAATGGGGAATATGCACCGAACGGCTACATTTAATTCTCATTCTTCGTTTTAGCATAAATTATTTTAAGATTAGTAGAACCTTATAATTTAGTTAATATTTAATCTCTATTTATATATCTATTGTAAAAACTACAAATTTCCTAGTTTTCATTATACATATATATTTATGAAAAATGGAGTGGCAAATTCCTTTAATCAGTGTTACAAGACAAGTAACATATAAAATTACTTTATATATTATACATGCATATTCCCTATTGTACAGATTGCTGTCCAACGGGAAATAAGGTAATATTCAAATTACCTATGGATACCTGTGAAACGGGCCACAAACAACGGGCGCATTTTAAATTCACGTCTGATGGAATCGGGGACCTAGCACGAGAAGAACCAGGACAATTGAAATCTACCACCGCAGAAGATTATCCAGGGGTTGTATATGATTTCCCAAAGCAAGTTATTAAAATGAGAATCGGAAGAACCATGGAAATGGCTGGGAGGAAGTCGAAACTTGAATATCAATTTATCACACCTGTTATAAACTACGAAAAAGTTGTTCCTGTTGTGGATACACGCACTGCTCAATGTGTTCCTACGCCAACTTGTCCTAATTGTTGTCCTAACAGTCCCAGATGTAAACCTTGTTAAAATAATGTTATATAATCTTTCTGTTTCTTATACTCTATTTGAATATAACACGGAATCTTTAATGTCATACCTTATTATTTTATGTATCTTTATAAAAATATTGCCAAATTTTTTATCTTTTATTTACAAATAATAACTTATCGACTTATCTTAGGTAACCCGGAAAGATTGCCGAATAGCCAAGAATTTACGAATGACATGACGTGGTGTAAAATAAAAAGAAAAATCCCAAACACATCCCCGTCTTTCTATCTTTACAGTGATGTTGATGGCTGGAAAATAATAAAAGGACCAAAAATGCCCCTAAGAGTTGGCTATAATACACTTTCAAGTACCACATTTAGAACGGAAGAGTTTGTGAAACGTGTGACTCAGTGTAATAATGTCAACGTTTTGGAAACTTACAATTCTGCAATGAATTTACAATTGCCCATAACTTCCTTGTTTAGTAATAGTTCATATGGATCAAGAGATACTTTCGTTTACATGACCTTGTCGAATAACCTTTATCATAAAAAATCCTCAGCAACGCAAGCCACTGCTTCTATAAACAAATGTTTTCAAGTGTATGATTGGACGAATAATATGACCAACAGTAACGTTTCTACATCGGATTATCGCTCTACTTGCACTATGTCAACATTATCCAATCGAACTAATCAACAAGACACGCCACATATTCGATATCCAAGAGTATATTTCTTTGGCCGAAAGAAAGATGAAAAGAAACGAAAAGGGATGGGACCAAGTGATTCACACACCAAAATTCACAGGACAAACCAAACTACAAACACTGCTACCAAAAGTTGCGATTCTAAAACAAGCTTAGAATGTTGTTCAAACTCTAATATGAAAACATCGTGCATGACGCCAAAACGATCACTGCCACCGAAAGCTTCTAAAACTGCAGCCACCTCAGCAGGATCTACTAAAACCGTCACTATAAAAGAAGAAAAACCACAAAAGCCCTGTCCAGCCCTAGGAACTACTAAAGGCGATATGATGGTGACTGTTTCCCATATCAAAATAGGACCGAAAGAAAATTGTCCAGTGCATGGAAGTGAACCCTGTCAAGGACCTAAGTGTGTTTTGGCGTCCTCAGGAGAGGAACAAGCTCCCGTCAAAATAACTTCGGTAAACAATCCAAGAAGAGGTGTATTTGAAGTAGTAATACGTAGGCTTACTGGCGCCCCACTAGCGAAAAATGAACTAATGCTAGAATGGACTCCACCTCCCTCTCGGCCTGCGCCGTGTGGGGTGCCCTGTCCTTCTAACTGCTTCGCGCCAGGCTCGTATCGACCATCGAGATGCAAATTAATTATTTGCCGCCCTTCCCCTTGTCAACCAAAGTGTTCTAAAAAAAAACGATGTGTACGACCTCCCTGTCGTAAGCCGTGTAACAAATGTTGTAAGCCAGCGTGTGCAAAATCGTGTTTTCCCCCGTGTAGACCCTGCTCTCCCCCAAGATGCTCTCGTTGTACTCCTTCAATATGTGGATCATGTTCTCCGCCGCCTTGCTCACCACCACCTTGTTTCAACCCTCCATGCTCTCCATGCAAAAGCTCTCCATGCTTGCGCCCTTGTCCTGTAGGATATAAACGCATTCGCAAGTATCGAAGTCAGCCTAAAATCAAATCACACAAAAAAAGAAAATCTCCATGCGGCAATAGTTCACAGGCATGTCCAATAGTTAAGTGCCGCAGTATAGCTGGACCATGCATTGCCTGTTGCACCATCCCACCTATTTGTTTCCCTAGAAAAAGTTGCTCTACGCTTCCGTGTAAACCTCTAAAATGTATGTCGAGCTGTTCTTCCTGCTGCGAGTAGAAAAATGCAATTTATATATACAAAGAATTGATTTTCATACGTTTTGCAACTTCATTTCCTAATGAATAATAAATATATTCGACACATGATATTGTTTTATTGCCTTGTAGTAAAATTTAATATTTTGTTAATATAAATAATATTTTTAAGAAAAAAGTTTGTATTGCACGAACTGATATGACTATAAACTTTTTGAAAATTTGACATCACTTTGACATGAAAATTAAAAGCGTCAGTTTCATTCAACATATCAAATTACAAGTAGCAGGATAAAATTTATTATTTTTAAAATGGCCAACGCAAAGGGCACTCAAGTTCAGAGTAAACCAAAAAATCCAAAATCGGAGGCTTGTCCTTGGCTCTGCAATTTAGTGCCCACCAATGTGCCAGGGCCAGGTCAAGCTCAAGCCGTTCTACATCCTGGGAAAGACGTTTTTGTGTTAAAGGTACACTATAGTAGACATTAGTGCTTACCTACTTAAAGTATTACATTACAAGAATAATGTAAGAATGTAGTCCGGTTAAAATATGTTTTAGGTGGCCAAAGTCGGTGCAAATGGCGATCGCCGGTGCAAGATGGAACTTGAGCTGGTAACTCCAAAGAGCGCTGACAAAAATGCTCCTTATCGAGTAGACACGAGAGACACACAATGCGATCCCGACCCGCCGCCGTGTGGTTGCTGTAATAGGATTTGTAAGAAGAAAAGAAAATAGACGAAAGAAAATCTCAAACCAAAGAAAATTTATAAGAATATTTTATTATATTTATCCCTTTATTTATCATACAACTTCGTAAGTGATATATTTTAATAAATCTCCTATCTGAAATAAATAACTTTGTAATAATTCATTACGTATACCTATTTACATTATTTAGATATATGTTATAATGTTATGAGTGATAAAATACGGTGTCAATATGACACAGAAATTATTATTTAAGACTAGATCTATTGTGTATTTTGAAAGAAGCGAGTTATAAAAGATATTAGCAATAACGAGCTTGGTTATTCAATAATTATGACGATCTAGAATAATTTACATAAATTATTATAAAAAACTATTAAAAGCAAAATTATTATACAGACATTATTTTCGAAGCATAATCCTTAAGTAAGAAATAGTTTATAAAACATTATTGAAAAATCAATTAAAATCTTGAAGCAAGCTCTAAGAATTAAATGAACTCTAAGAATTCTAAGAACTGTTTGCACTTTCATCATTTATTTGAAATTAACACTAAGGTGCATAGTGCGGGGGAAAAACAGATTAAACTTTTATATAAATAAGGAAGCATTTTTTAATTAATGGATGGATCTTTTCTTTTTTATAAACCGCTTAGAGATATACACACATATAAAAGTTATATGTAACTAAACGGTATATTTTATATAACAAAACCTTTTACAATGCTAACGAGTAGGTATATTTTTGTAACCAAACAGCTATTAATATTTCTATAACAAAAAGAAGAAACATGATTAGAAAAAGACTAAACTGTTTTGTTATTGTTTTGCTAAAATATATTTTTAATTTCTAATTTCAATTACCATTCGTAGTATTGTTATGACTGTTGACGATAACCTCTTTTATTTTTCCATTACTTAACAAATTTTGTTTACAGTACCTTAATGCTTAATTATCAGACAAAGCTAATGTTTAAAGCTATTTTTGAACAATGCGTTGGTGTCTTGGGACGACTAAAGATAAACAATTCTTGCGAATAATTAGTCTTATACTTGTTTCATTCAGTAAATGTAAATATAAGAATAAATTGCAATAAGTGATCTTTCAACATGGATGGTAGTGCCATCTTGCGGCGAATAGCAGTAAATTTAATATCATAAAAGCCTTGACATCACATATACATATGTATGTAATAATTATTATCTCACCGATTTAAATATCATTTTATTTAAGATTATTTTTACTATGTCACAATTCTTTACGTAGATACTTATTTTTAATTACTTATTCGCCCTGTAGAGCCACACCCAAGAAATGAAATTTATTTGATTGTGAAAAAAAAAAAAACTACTCGATATTTTATAAATATAAAGTTAAAATGAGAATAAAATAAATTTATCTCTCAAAAACAAGATACTTTCTTTGTTCCAATAAAACCTCATTTAGTTTCTGAAAGTCATCGAAAAACATCGGTGACAGAAGATTGATCTCACAAATACTTTTGGGCTCAAAATTATTGTATGAAATTTCAATTTTAAAAATCAATATGGCAAAAGGCCCGACTACACGTAAGCCTTATGAAGAAATAGGTGCTATATTCAATGGAAATGAGGTAGGAGAGTAATATAATAATAGATTCGCAAAATAACCGATACTAGAAAAGTAGTGAGTAAAATAAAAATGCAATGTTTCTGATTACCTAGTCAAAACTACTAACGCAAACTTCATTTGTTTTTGTGGTTCAAATTACGTGTTTCAGCATTCAGATTAATTATTCATTATATAATCTATACGTGTAATATATATGTATATACAAATATATATTAAAAATTTTATCGCGCATTAGGTGAAGATAAGGATACCGAAAAGCACTTCCAAGCCGCCGAAGTTGACACCATCTCAGATTAAACTTCAAAATCAATGTACTTGTGATGATGAAGGCTCTGTATGCTCAGAGACATGCGGCATGGTTGGAGATGATGACGGAGGACCTCCCAACAGGCTAAACTTCCAGGTTCAAACCTATTTTGTACCTAATACATTCCAAAATATGTCACATTTTCGTCTGAAAATTATGATAGCCTAAAATAATATTTATTATAACTATTATAGTATTTTCTATATAGCAATCCCGTAAAAAACCCTGTAGATAAGAGCTAGTTTATATCTTTGTTTTTATTTTATCATAAATCGTTCTCTGAGTTTTAAAGTGTAAATCGTAAATTAGTTGGTTTTTTTAACAAATTAAATAAAAAAAAATATCAGTCATCTATTACTATTTTACGTTATCATGATATTATTCTGAAAATATTATTAATGAAAAGTGACTTAGTAAAACTATTGAAATTTTTACACATTAAAGATTAGAACTAAAAATAAATAACTCGTTACTAATAATACGTTAAATATAAATGTACCCTGATTTTTTGTTAACAAATTCTTCTCCCAGATCCCAGATGATATTTGCGAAGCTCTAACAAACAGGACTCAACTCAACTCGGAATTGATTTATAGCAAGAAAGAGGTTCATGACAATCTTTGCGACGTTTGCAACATCACGCCGAATGACGCTCCGAAAGGAGTCCAAGCGCAGAAAGTCCTACATCCTGACAAAGATGTTTTCCTGCTCAAAATAGGCAAACAGACAGATGAACCATGCCGCACTGGAAATATAGAGGTATAACTGAAAAACTTTAAACAAACATGCAGTCTATATTGTCATAATTAATTGCTTTATGACCAGGTGGAACTAGTAACGCCACGAGCTCCTGCGAAATTGAAGCCCGCTACTCACTCTTGTAAGCAGATACAATGTGAAGATGAGGATCTACCATGCTGTGTGCCGTGCCGTACATGCCGAGCCGTTTTCCCAAAGAAACCGCGAGTAAGACGTGCCAGATGCTGTATGTGATTACCCAGAAAGACCTATCATTAAATTGGTATAAAAGACAGAAATATATGTAATACACAATATTTTGTTTTAACTAAGTGACATTCAATGTAAGCTACCGTCTACCAAACAAGCAATAAATTCTTCAAAATCATAATTAATTCTATTTATTAAAATTTATTATAACAAATAGTTTTAATGCAATGCAAACTTTTTACATTTAAATCAACATAAATGACTGTCGATGTGTACCTTAAGTCTGCAATTTATGTTTAAAAAAAAATACAAGATTATATCTTACACGTGTTTGCAAAGTTGAAATAAATCCTAATGTAAGATAATGCATTTTGAATTGAACACAATAGCTTTGTCTCCATAGAAGCCACACAAACATATCGTAATATATCTTAATACGAAAAGAAGGGCAAGTTTATCTTAACCATTACTCAAGCAATTTGTATAAGCAAGTTATACAGAGGAAAAACATTCCTTATTAAATTTCAATTACCATACTTTTCGTAACCTAAATCGGTTTGATAGCTTACTAGTGCAGAGATAAAAATTAATCAACAAACAAATACATAACTCAACTAATATTCTAAGATAATTAAACATCAGACATAATTAATTATAATGCTAAATTATATTTCAACAAACAACATAATTAGGTTGAGATAATATGTGAAACTGCATAGTTAAGCAAACATTTACTACCTACATATAAATGTAACATATATTTACGTATATGCTAATAACTATAGTAAATAAACATATTATTATTTAATGTGTTATGTTGTGAATAACATGCAAAATAGCTGAAGTCGTCATATGTAGCTTAAAAGATACAACGTCATAATTAATATTATTTGTATATTTGATTATAATATGTATCAAGAGTATTTTTTTTCTGGCAATACCCACAGCTATGTAAAGTGCTCATAATCATGTTGGTAATTAGAGGAAGCTAGTACCACAATTATTAGAAGGACAATTACAGTTGTAACAATATATTAATAAATAATGACTAATGATAAGTATTATTACAACAAGTACAAATCGTTCAGCTATTTATGTAGGGTTTATAGTTTTTCATTGACAAATCTTTGCACATTACAGTCGGTTACCAAGTAAGAAGTATATGAAGTGTGACGATGTAAGCTTGTGATATAATATTTCATCTTAAGTGTTTGAAAATTTAATTATTAAAACATAATTCACAGACGTTATTACGATATATTGTTCATAGTAAGAATCCTATAAAAAGAAAGCTATATCGTTTTCAGACTTCTTTTTGGTAATATTTTTTAACTTTCTTCATATATAGATTTCATTTTATGAATTGTATGTAATTGTATAGGTATAAATTAGATGAGATTTTTACTTATATTTACCAAATTGTATAACAAAATTAATGTAATTGTTATTATTTACGCATTCAATCAACTATTTGATGATAATCGTTAGTTCAGTGTAAATATAATTTCGGTTGGAATTAGAAATTACTGTGACATTTGCAATTAAATATTAGACGGTTGAATTTCTTTCAATACTACAACGCTACATTTAAATTAATTTGTTCCAATCCAATGATAGTGCCATTGTGATTTTTAGACAATGAATTTTAGATTTTTTTAATCTACATTCTTTTAACAGTACAAATACAGGTTGATCTAAAAATAGATGTGTATGATAAGAATTGACTCGCTTAAATTATCATTAATGAAAACGTTATAGTTATTGCAATTATCAATAATATAATATGGATATTTAATTTAATCATTTGAATGCAAAATTTTGTTCGCACTAAACTTGAGTTTCATAAAATATTTCAGTATCTGTTAGCAAAGCAGAGGTGCACTCTGCCCTTTACGACCTGAATGTTGCATAAATCAATACGGCCACCGCCCATGGCGACCGCCTAGAGACGGTTCCTAGAATCAGCTCAATTGATTTACCGCTTTCAAACCACGCACCCCCCATATCCACGCCACTTTGAAGGAAAGAGATGCACCTACGTAATTTGCACTTGGAAACGCATAAGTCCATCCCTTTCTAGTTTCGAGAACATTCTATGGGTGCAGTTATTGATTTGATATCCTATTTAATTATCCCCATTCCCAGGACCCGGTGCATCTCCCTAATAGACTACCTGGGAATGGTGTGAGTGGGAAGAAGGGGGGTTAGGGAGAAGTGGAGTTAACCCGTCCTCCGCTTAAAATCTACCTCGGATGCACCTAAATCAATACTATCAGGGTGTACAATTTATGCATATGTAGGCTTTTGCGCAGTTCGTCTCGTTATATAACGTTCGCGATTCCTTTGTCTTTGTTTTATTTTATATCTCATCTAATATTGATAGGATAAATTAATCATTATGAGGGATGATTAAAATAAAAGTAATGTCATTGAAAGTGACATATGTAATTTTTTTTTTAATATTTATGGACCTCGTTTTAAGTGCATACGCTTTCGATGACTGATTCATGAGAAATTTTTTGATTAATCTTTAAAAAAATATAATAACCAAATCCACTAACAATTATCAAGATATGGAACAGTCTTTGGTTTTGTTTTTAATAAATTTGCACAGCCTTTGGATATATTTACGTCATTGTTAAAGATTATTTATATAAGTAGATATCAGTGTATAAACTTGTTTGACCAATCAAGTTGAGCACTTATTTAAACAGATACCTGATACTTGGAAGAAAAAAACTAAAACTATTGCGCAATCTTATCTTAAATTGATTTTTTTCTTTTTGTCGCATCATAACTGGTAACTAATTAACAGGTATAGTATAACATCTTATTTGTGACCACTTGAATCCTTCCTTCACAATATTTTTCCTTTCGCAATAAGTCGAGTCAAATTGAAAAAAAAAGAGTTTTTAAACAGTATTAGAAATTTGCAGCTATTCCTAACAATACGAAATTAAATTTTACAACATTATTGAATATATTGTGAATAATGTGTGTCCATAACCTTTGAACCTCAATTTGTTACAAAAAATCAAGCCAATAATCTTATTAATACCTAACCTAAGTAATTATAATAACAACTACACCCCAATAATGATAGATTATAAAATTAAACCATAGTCAGAATGAAGATCAAGCCGAAACAAATATAAAATAAAATAAAATAAATAAAATATAAATATAAAAATAATATAATAATAAATTTAATTAAAAAAATCTTCTATATATAGCACTAATTAATTATCAACATATTCGTCATCCGGTAAAGATACTGGATGCTCTGATAGATTATATGATTCAAATTAAAAAAACAAAAAAAATATGAAATCTTAAATCAAATATATATTCTTTTAAAATCATTCGTATTCCTAAACTTCCATAATACTATAAATGAATTCTTATCAATTCTTCTTGGAATTACGTAATAAACACGGGAATATTGTGTTCACTTAATTATAATTCCTTATTAATTTTCTTATAAATTTTAAGTGATTTTGAAATAAAACGCTTCAGCAGTAAGTAAAAATTTAATTATGCAATCAACGGAATTTTTCAAAAAACATTATTATTTTAAAGTCATCACATTTTTTAAGAAGTTTCAGCGATGAAGGATACCAATAAATGAAGAAAAGCCAATATATTTCTATTTAGCACTTTATATAACACTTTTTACAAATCAAGGCCGATTAAGAATCTGAAACAAAGAATTTTGTTAAAACGCCAGCTTAAACGCAATAAATATTATGAACCACTCGCTTGAGCTTTTATTATCGTAAAAAAATATAAAAATAATATTACCTCTATTTTCTTTCTACATAAAAAAACTTACCGTTTATATTTACCGCGCAAAATGCAAAAAAATCTATATATATTTTTTTATTTTTTTGTAGAATTTAATTCCAATTTAAGAGGACGAAGGCAAAAAAAGTTAGAAATCTATCTAATTAGATCAGAAAAAAGGTTAGCGTCTAAAATGTTTAAGGTTTTTTTTTCAATGAAATTCACAATATCACAGCTCTGATTCAGAAACTTATATAAGACGGAGAGTTGAACCTGTACACTGTTCTGTGCCACCGAACTGTTGGCCATTTGAATAATGTCGCCGGGAGCTAACCCCTACCACATTGCTTTCACCACATCTTATATAACTCATAGCTCATCTTTATACAAGTTATAATACACTAATTGGTATTAAAGATATCGTTTATCAAATACAATATACAGAAAAAAGACGAACAATATACAATGGACAAATAGAAATAGAATTAGGAATAGAAAATCAATATTATAGAATAATTCTTCAGTAGACCATCCAGAAGCCTTTGCAGTTAATTAATTTATTTCAGCTACAGCCATCTAGCGTTCGGGTTGAACACTACGAAGCTTTCAACCCTTGTATGAAAGTTTCTCCCTTAGTTATACTTAGCAAAATGACGTCCTATTTCAAAAGATGGCTCTGGCATCGAGCTACAAAGAAATCCAATATATTTGTAAGATTATTATCAAAGTAAACGTGAATTTTAATCATTAGTGTTTAATTATATATTTGTGACGGTTGACCTTAGTAATGGCAATGATTATTAAGTGTTCTTATGATAGCAACAAAAAATAGTTAGACAAAAATATATCGAAAACAGTAACTTTCATTAAACCGCTGCAATTAAACGAAACAGTTGTCATCTCATTTTCAGAAATTTCATTTTCAATAAACACTGCACAGCTATATAGTATTCATATTACCTAAGTATGTATTTGATACACAAACTAAGATTTTACATAATATAATATATATGATAGATAGATATTTAATAACTTATACATATAAACGGATTAAATTCTGTTCGTCATACTTACATAAATTTAAATATTTCAATTAGAATTTAAGGACTTTATTAATGTAGAAAATAAAAAAGAATGAACAGTAAACATTATTTGCACAGATTAACAAAAGATTGTCTATGTTTCAAACCCAAAGAAGCTATTCGAGTTTAGATTGTAAAATAAAGACATTATATTAAAGTGCAAGTGACAGCCAGTTGTTG